CTTTGTTCCTGTGATGTCTCTTGCAGTATTGGTGACAAATCTATTGGCAGTTAAAGCATGCAAGCCAGTTGAAGTTCATCTAGAAAAATCTCACAAAGGTAGTTGTCAGTGGATTTGAAAGCCTTGGGGAAATACTCTTTATTTTCACATTTTCTTAAGTTCTCTGCACAGCTAGACTTAATTGGTCATCCATTGGAGCTCATGTTAGATCCATCTTATGCTGAGCATGGCTTCTGCAGACACCAGAGTGAGTTGGACAGAACTGATTTAGAAGAGGAGGAGGTATTTTGGGGGTGCAGTTAATCTTTTATGTTTTAGAATCCAGTGTTAGGATGAGAGAATTGGCTGTAGCATCTGAGAGAAATGTGTGAATCTATTCCGAATTTAAAATGTCAGAGTAGAAGTGTGATAGGAGACCTTGTGCAAGCTCTTTGAAACATGAGTTTTTCTGTAATAACTAGTTCTAGTCGTGTCAGATAACATAAGTATTATGTTATTGGCTGTAGAGCATTGAGAGTAGCATCTGTTCCAATCCATTGACAGAGCAATGAGTCAGTTAGCTTAATATTAAAGTCAAATGCTGTGGAACACATTTCTAACCAGGGTAAGAGACTTTTTTACAAATAATATTTTACAGCATGATAGATGCTGTAGATAGATAGTCTTTATATTTGGGTGTTTTTAATACTGCATTTTTAAGTTAAAACTTCATCTATGTGATGGATTAATAATTTTGTAGTATTGAATATGGAGTTAAACTTTGGAAGATGGTAAACCTCTACCTTTTGTTGTTTGTAGATAAAAATACAGGGGAGCTTCTTCTGAAAAATGCCTCTCAAGAATATTCTGGTACATACCACTGTGTTGCCTCAAACAGAGTTGGCACGGATGAATGTTCTGTTGAGCTGAATGTCACCCCTCGTAAGTGTTTGCTGTGTAATGGTCACATAGTGTTCTGTGTATTAAAACTGGACAGTCATTTTTCTCTATGCTCAAATCCAGAGCTTTGTATCTGGTGGGTGCCAGTTCAAGTCTTTTTATTATTTTAAAAGCATGTGATTGAGCATATCCTCTCTGATTCAATGATGTGCTATTAACCTGGATCATGTAAAACATGAGGTTTAATATTAGAAGAAAGTTGACCTTATAACTTTGACAGTTAACAAACAGTGTTGTTATTTATCTATTCTAGCCGTAAATACAGCTGGTATAATTGCTGGAGCTATTATAGGAACTCTACTGGGTCTTTCTGTACTGACTTTTCTCGTCTTCTGTTGCTGTAAGAAGCACAGAGAGAAGAAATATGAGAAGGAAGTCCATCATGATATCAGGTAACCTGTCTCTAGTTTCTGAGCAGTATTATTAGAAGATTAACTTTTAAACGTGTACTTCTGCAAGTAAGATACTTAACAGTTGAGATTTCTGTCTTAATCTGGAAAGCTTATTAACATACTAATGGCTTGTCAGAGAACTTTTTGTAGTCATGTCTAATTTGAGTAAACATTTTAAATGCAATGAATACTTTTTTTTTTGGTCACTTTAAAGGAATGCATAAGGATTTTTTTGGCTGCTGCATCAGAATAGAAAGAAACAAACTGAGTACTTGTTTTGTAAGTTCCCACATTGCAATGGTGACTGAACTCTTGTTCTGAAACTGGCTTTTTTTTTTTTTTTTGTTTATTTCAGAGAAGATGTTCCACCTCCAAAAAGTCGCAGTTCAACAGCTCGTAGCTACATAGGCAGCAATCGTTCTTCTCTGGGTTCAATGTCTCCCTCAAACATGGAAGGATATACCAAAACTCCATATAGCCAAGTCCCAAGTGAAGACTTCGAACGTAGTCCTGGTCAAAACCCAACCTTTGCACCTTCAAAGGTAGCTGCACCTAATTTAAGTAGAATGGGAGCTGTTCCTGTGATGATTCCAGCACAAAGCAAAGATGGGTCCATAGTATAAAATATTATTAATTTAAAAGCTGTTTTTTAAAGTGTTCATTGTAAGTATTAGAGAAAACTATGTTCCATCCCTCATCTAAACACTGGCATGAAATTGTCCTTGAAGAAAATGAACAAGTTAGTTTGAAAAGCCACCAATTCTCATACTGAATTTTAAATTTAGTGTATGACAGTTGAACTATTTGCTAAAAGTGTTGAAGTTCCTAAATAAATATCAGACACTGAAGGTAGTTGGACCTCTGGTAGGTTACTGAAGAGACACTGTCAGCTGATGTGTAGTTCTGAATGTGTAACAGTGAGACACAAATGAGAAGTAACTAAAGCATTTCATATGTAGACCATGAAGTTTCTCAGAGTTCCTGAAACTTCATTCTCAATGGTGGAATAGCAGAAATATTTGGCCACTGTCTGATGTAGTTGCAGGGGACTGAAATATTGAGGATGACTTTGAATTATGTTCAGACTATTTATGCAGTTCTTTGACCTGGCAATGTTTGTTTGGAGCACTTGAGCTTTTGAGGAGCAGACAGTTATTTGATTGGTTCAATTAATTTAATGAATCTATTCTGAATTTAAAATGTCAGAGTGTGGAAGTGTGGAGACCTTGCAAGCTCTTTGAAACACAATTTTTTCTGTAATAACTAGTTCTAGTCATGTCAGATAACTTAATGTTATCTGATGCAAGAGGTCCAGTCAGGTTATTGGTAATTGTATCTAAGCTTTAAAATCTATAGATCAACTGTTACTGTCACAGTAAGAAGGAATTATTTATCTTTATACAGGTCTTTAAGTTAATTGTACCTTGCATTTTTCAGCTCCTGTTTAGATACTAAGGCAGTGCTCTTACTTTTTTCCAAATCGATTACCTAGAAGCTCCATGGGGATTTAATGAAAGCTGTTAAGTAACTGGTATTTAATATCTGCCCTCTTGCTCTAACATCAGTGGGGAAACAACTTTTCCTATGTACATGTAAGCTGTAGTCAGCCCTTACTCAAGATGCTAATATCTTTCTGTATGAATTTGCCAGGAGTTTAAAGCTCATTTTTACTTGCCTATTCAGCAGCTCTAGATAGTCTGAACCAGTGTTCAGACTTTCAAGAGCAAGAGTTTCGTGCAGCTAAGAGGAAACAGTTATCCAGAATTCTTGTTACAAATCTCATGTTTCAAGATTAAAAATGCTTCTTCCCAATTTTGCAAACTTAAATCAATACAGGAGAAACGGAATAATTCCGTGGTTTTGTTTCACATGCATTTAAGGACTTCTGACTTCTCATAGCTTCTGATGACTGATATTATATACCTGTGGAAACTGGATTTAAAACTCAGTGCAGTTTGAATATTTGTGGATTTTTTTTGTCTTCCTTCCTATCTTCTGCCGCCTTTATCCTGTGCTGGGGGCACCTGGGGGAGACTCCCTTCATGTTATTCTATCTCTAGATGTTAAACTGCAAGGTATTTTGGAAAACTCAGAAAGCATGTAGTATGTGGCACTGATGTTGCTGAAGGAAATATTTGAATAGCCTGTTGAAAGATGTTAGGCTTATTTGTATGTAGTATGTATTTGAGAGAAAACATTTGCCCAAACTTCTAGGTTTAGTGTCTGCTTTTTTATAGCTGCTTATAGATCTGTGATAAATTCTTTGGCTTACTAGTGTTTGTCCTATATATAATTAGGTGCACAGTTTTTGGCTGGCACTATTAATGCAAAGAAATTACCCTGGTCATGGCAGGGTGGTTGGTACAAGGTCATCTTCCAACCCAAACCATTTTATGACTCTAACATACCCTTCCTACTGAATTTAGAAACTTGAATGGCTGCTATTAAGTATTCTAGACCTAGTTTTACACATTTGGGACTTTCTTAGATTGTAATCTGATACTGTTAGAGATAAAAAATCTTTCATGTGTGCCTTGTCAATAAACTTTGCCTGATTGTAACTTCAGTTTTTATGAAATTTCTGGTGCCTAAACATACTGTTTGAATAGGTGCTTAGATGATGGTACAGTTCTTAAAACATGACACTGTGATCTGATTTCTTGATTCTTATGTACTATTTATACCTCTTCATGCCTATTTTTGGATGTGACTTCAGTGTCTCTCTCTGTATTGTTCTGTACTTCAAAATGTCACTTACTCCTTCAATTGCTAATTATGATCTGTGTTCATATTCCTGGAAACTGTTGTACCAATGAGATCAATGATTGACTTTTATTTGTGTGGTAAATAATAGGTTTAGTAAATGCACTAAACATAGCTTCTGAAAAACAATAGATGAGGAGACATCTTGCATCCAATTATTGTGATAGAAGAGACTTCTGAGATGTTAATCATACACTGATTGTTTACCTTGAAACTAAGGCCTTCCATAATTAAAAGGGTATAGTTATTATATCTACAAGTTGAGTACAAAAATAAACAGAATCACAGACTGAGAGATAGCTATAAACCTAAGCAACCAGGCAGCAAACCTACTAAATTTGGTTCTTAGCCATCTGTGGACATATGTTTTTGGTGGTGGCTTCTGGGGGTTTTTTTGTTCATTTTGTGTTGGGTTTTTTTCTTAGTTTGGCCTGAGACCCTGTATTTACAGTCAGGTAAGCCCTAGGACGGGCAAATGCAGAAACCTATCTCAGTAAAATACACAGACCAGAGTTTACACGTGCTCGATGATGCACTATCAGCTTGTGCAAAACAATAAATGGACAGATGGACAGCATGATGTGCCCTCAGAGCCTAGCTGTTAGGCTTAGCAGCCTTGACAGTGTCTGTCTATTTATGTAATTGCATGGAAAATAAAAGAAATAGAATCTGACATAGTCCTTATCTGAAATGAAGAACCTCTTACTTGGGGTAAAATTTGCCTCAAGTTGCTATCATCATGCCTTTTTGGATGGATACAACACTACTATGAAAACATACTACTGCTATAATAAATTATAAATTATTTTTTTTGTCACTACATTGTTCACTTATACTGGATTATGATTTCAGAAGCAGCTACTGTAGTTTAACAATGATTTCTAGCTGTGTAGGAGATGAACTGGTTAAACATCTGAGGTGTCCAATCTTGCAGATGATAACTCTGCTAACAGAACACCTTTTTAGGAAGTAATGGCAGCTGATAAACCAGTTAGGAGGTGGCATTTTTAAAGACTCATTTTATTAAAAAAAAAAATGGGGAGGGGGAGGGAGGGGGGTACCATTATGTAAATATTCTAAGTGAGCTTAAGAAACCTCTAGTTAATGTCATGACTGTAAACTTGCCTGTTGAGGACTACTATATATAGAAAGAAATCCTTCAATTTTAGCATGGTGTGAATAAAGTGTTAGACTTGTAATACTGTAGAGGTTACATAACACTTGTCCATACATTACAAATGTTTTCGTAAACTTTCTGCAATGGATACTTAAAGATATTTGTGTGAAACTTCCTTCCCTGAAAATGAATACTTCTTCCAAAACTGTGTGGTGCACAGAAATGCCTTGTTGAAGGGGTAAAACATGACTTCTGAAAGAAATGTACAACGCATACATCTTTATCAGCTCTCGATAGTTGCATCCATATTAGATGTATGCTTCCTGCTTAATAGTGCAAGTATGATTTCTGAATTGCAAGTTATTTTGTAATGCTGAGTATTGTATATTACTAGTTTCCATGACATGCTTTTAGTTTTGTTCTGAGCAGTGTATATTCTGGATCACTTTAGATCTTTGTTCCAGTCTAAAAATATTACGCTATTTGTGTCACTTAAACCTTGTTTTATACACTTGATAGGTGCTTTATGGGACCCTTTGGTTTTCGGTCCTCTAGCATTGAGGCACAGCTCAACTGAAACTGGAGCAATAATACTTCCTGGGATCCAAAATGTTGCAATGTTACATTATACTTCTCATGCACAAAGCATGGACTTTGAATAGTGATATGAATTTCAGTCTGAGGTTTTATATTCACACTTTTGGGGGAATGGTGTTTTAAAATACAAGTATTGTGAGTGAATTTGTAAAAAAATCAAATCCAAAATTTTGAAATGCTGTAGTTCCATGACAGACTTGTGTACTTTTTGAAATAAAACTGTTGACGAAAACAGGAGTCTGTCTTTATTTTAAAGCAGCACTTGTGTATAGCTTTAGCTTTCTCTTTATGTAATTGGAAGTGAACTAATAAATATGGCTGTGTATACCACACTGGCATTAATAATTTTATTTTTTTGCTTTTTTTCCCCCCCATTAATTTCTAACGGAAGGAAAACTTCAGATAATTTAGAACATGCACTTATTTGGAGTTCCTAATTCTAGATATCAATAGATACTCTGAAACATAAGGCTGGAAAGGAACTTTAGATGACATTTCATCCCTCTTTATTTTAGATATTTAGATATTTCTGAAACTGATTGATCTTTGTATTTTAAAGTTCAAATAAGTAGATTTGCAGATTTTTGTTGATAAAATGCTCGGTGTTATATTGTCATGTAATGTGCATCGTTTATGAGTCATATGAAGTTGACTTGTGCTACCCTGCACCCCTTGGCCTTGCAAACCAACTCATTATTGTACTTGTAATTTTACCTGAGATTAATACGATTTCTCCAGTGTCATCTTGGGCACATATTTAGTTTTAGGAAACAAAGTCTGGCATAGACTCTGTTTGTGCATTAATGGCTTGTGTTGTGTTCATGTCACTAAGGGCATAATTAGCTTATATTTGCTCATAATGTTTATCTGTTATAATGCATGCATATCTTTCATATGTTAATGAGTACCTGTGCCATGCCAGGTCTTCCAGTTGCTTCTTTTTGTATATATAAAAAATCTGATACATGTGTGCACAAGCATATGAAGTTACATGGAATACTGGTAGGAAAACCTTAAGGACTTTTTTCTATTTCACATTAAGACTTGTGCTTAAATACAAAAGGAAACCTCATAAAAATGAAGGTTCAGATTTGTCTCAATTTGTAGAGTTCTGAGAAACCTTTTTACATGCTTTTAACATTAACA